TCCGTGACGGAATTACATCATTTTTTTGCTTTCTTTTGCGGTGGGTTTTATCGTTATATTTCTACCGGTAAAAAAGACTTCTATAAACTTGATCTGCACGGAGCCTTATGCAATCGAGTGCCCTCTAGCAAATTAAGCAAAAAAGAACGGTGGGAGAAATGTTTTTGATTTTGGTAGAATTGCTCCAGAAAAAGTACCATTTCGAATTCGGCAAAAAATCGGCAAAAAATCGGCAAAAACCAGCAAAAGCTTGTTTAATGTGCAAAATGCGTTTTTTAAGATTGTTTCGACAAAGTCAATAGTGCATTTTGTAGAGTATTTATTTCTTTATCCACTAATATACTTTCTGAAACTTTTTAAGAGTGGGTTAGAAAATTGAAATAAAATAACTTCTAAATTTAAAATTCGAATTTTCGATTTAAAAATTTGAGCTTCATTCGTTTGAAAGTTGACATTCGTTATCAGCGCAAAAAGCTGCGTCTAATGATGTGCTTTTAAGGCTGGTTTGAGAGAAAAAATATCGCTCAACCCACCGCAACTGAGGGTGACAGTTACGCGTTTTAGCCGTTTGCCATACTTTGCAAGCTATCAAGGATTTCCTCTCTATATTGATATTATGAAATGTAAGGTCATATTAATAATTTCAAATACATAATTATATAATATGCAAAAGGTCTGATCTTGTAAAGAAAATGTGAAATGAAATTTTTAATATGAATAGAATTAAAAAAACTTTTCGTAATCGAAATGCGCAATTTTTCTACCTTTTTCAAGTTGGAAAATTCCAAGTCATAGAATACTGCTGTAGGCATCCTATTGGTCCTACAGAACGGAAATGACCTCATTGGGAAACGGAAAGTTCAGCACGAGGAAATTTCAGCACGGAATTTTCAGCACGGGAAAGATCAGCACGAGGAAAGATCAGCGCGGAAATTTCAGCACGGGAAAGATCAGCGAAAGTATTGATATTTCACAGTTTGGGAGCAAAAGTCAAAACTGTGATTCTTGCAAAATGCCAAGAACAATATATTGTATATAATGTATACAATCTATGTATGTAAACTGACATGGAGTGTGTATAGATCATGCCTGCAAATATAAATCTATATAAACCAAAAGCACGTTTGGATATAGATGGTTTCTCGTATATAAAGGCTCGCTGTACGAATGAAAAAACATATTTTATTAATCATTTTTCTCAAAATTGTCACTCTCGTCTTCATACATGATTACAATGATATATTACATGCGATAGAATCAAGTTGTTTTAAAACATCTGCCTGCGGGTTAGAGATAATATTTACCAAACGTTTTTCAAAACGTTCGTTTCTTTTACTTTTCAATTTGGGCGCTTAACCAGCATTAATGTGTAAAATGTCCATATGTGTCGCATTTTCTTCTTTAATTAGCTTCTCTAGGAAGCTATCCGGTGTTGGATGTAAACACTGAAAAACCGAGCCGATTCGACGATGATAAGCTTCCGCAGCGTTGTTTGTTCTCATGACCGCCTCCGTTGTCCGATGGTACGTATTCCAAAAATCAATAGCAAACTTGGGCTGCCGTCTTGTTTGATTCGGTCGAAGTCGTCCTAAAAAAAGTACATATTTTCGTAAACCGTGAAACTATAATCATAAACATCCACGACTACATCCAGCATACCAGAACCTGATTTTCTTTTTTAACATTTTTTCCAGGAAAATACATACCAATACATACCAATATATGTTTCTCCAAAATAATCAATAATATCTTCATAATCATCGCCAAGACTTGAGAATAAACGTTCAAATGCATTTATAACAACATCTGGGTGGATGAAGGCTAATGCGGCAATTTTGTGAATATTATGCGCAAATATGGAGTCGTTTTGATATTGAGTTTGATAACCAAGTGACTAAATGTTATTATCACCAGATAAGATTAAGAATAGAAGTTCATATGTAATACTCACTTGAATTTGACGATGGATACTTTGTCTTAAATGAAAATAACATGCAGACAGGACAATATGGGGAAACTTGCATCCAAAACATTAATACATGCTTGTTCAAAATCAAGCATAAATGATCGAGGATACCAGTGTGGTACAAATTCAACTATTTGGCAAAATTTGGATCATTCGGTGCTGATGGTAAATTTTTATCTTCTCGTAACATCCGGATGCGTCGTTTTACGTGATCACGCGGTGTTACACGTGATAGAGACGGGTCCGACATCCCTGCCAAATAAATGTCTATATTGCATGCGACGTTCTTTTTATGACTTTAGGGGTCGTTTCAGGATTAAGTAGGTAAGTATGCACCAGGTACAGTTTTTGCTCGTTAAGGCGGGTCCCCCCATTTAGATTTTCCTCTAACGTTCCTAGTTTGTAGAGGATACTTCGAAGTATACGTTCTGAAGTTTTTTAAAAATTAATTACTTAAAAAGATATTGCTAAATTTTTGAACAAAGGACTATTATCAAAAAAATTCCTGTCCATTCGTCATTCATCATAAAAACTTGATTCTTGCCTAGCTCGATAGAGAAATGTGTGGAGAATATTTACCACAAGAAAATATGTAAAAAGTTTTGCTCTTTCCTTCCTGAACATTTCTAAGATCATCCAAAACTGGGCTTTTCTTTTTTTCTTTCTTTTCTCAAAATCTTTGTAGCTTTTCGTAATTACAAGATTTCTGCTCCATTTCAAAAGCTAAAAATTTCGGGTTGATCATAAAATGTAGCGAAGACTTAGTTCTACAGCATACCAGAACCTGATTTTCTTTTTTAACATTTTTTCCAGGAAAATACCAAGTATAAAAATGAAGAAAAGTTTCGCTAACTTTTTGGAAACTTTATTTTTTTCTGGTAAACAAAGACAAATATGAAAATCAGGCTCTGCTATGCTCTACAGCTAAGTCTTAGCTACATTTTAAGATCAACCCAAAGTTTTCAAGCTTCAATTACTATGCTGAGGACATGTCCCTTGTAACTGGTGCATGCCTATACGTACTATCAAAGGTTCTTCTGAAGAAACTCCCGACATTCCAGTTATACATATCTTTGCCTTTACAACAATGTGTCACGATAAGATCCGGTGTTTCACGAGTGTTAAGCGCACGATAAACGATTTGTTCGTTAAATTTACGAAGTTCAATTGCTGTACCATCAGTTTTACAACTATGTTCAGTAGCAGGTTTCACAATATTGCTCGTAATAATATATGTATGAAGACGAGAGTGACAATTTTGAGAAGAATAATTAATACAACGCCAATATATTTTTTCATTCGTAGTGCGATCGAACATTCGTAGTGGATATAGATGGTTTCTCATATATAAAAGTTTTATATATGAGAAACCATCTATATCCAAACGTGCTTTTGTTTAGTAGTACCGTTAATTGATATTGTAGCCATTTTGAGCAAGTGAGAAGTTTATGATAATAATAGAAATGTTTCTTCATTTATTTATACTACCTCTATGTAGCGTTATCGAGACCGATTCACTTATAAGCCCATTAGTAGAGTGCTAACTTAATTTCAATACTTATCTGTCAATCTCGTAATTAGCTTTATTTTTTAGACATAATCTATACATAATTCTTTACAGAGTTTATAAACAATCATTTGCTTTATATTGTTCTTGGCATTTTGCAAGAATCACAGTTTTGACTTTTGCTCCCAAAATGTGAAATATCAATACTTTCGCTGATCTTTCCTCGTGGTGATCTTTCCCGTGCTGAAAATTTCGTGCTGAAATTTCCTTGTGCTGAACTTTCACCCTTTTAAAGGCGACTATGATATTTCGACCACAAAACGGGATATATGTAGGTTTGTAGAGGAAAATGTTCGCTATCTAGTGGTGTATATATTATCAAATTCTGTTGCGTACCGTGAGAGAAAATTAAAGGTAACCCCTCTTTTTTTCGACTCTTTTAGAAATTTTTTTTATTTTTGAGTTAAATGTTCTGCATTATAGAGTAAAGTGTCCTTTACAAAGTAAGACCGCTTCCAGCTTTCCAAGACCTTCCGTTGGGGAGATATAAATTTTTTAAAGTTTGTTACTTCACGCTGAAAAAAACCTACTTTTTACTTGCGAAACGTTTTTCTCTTCCATTCAGTAGTTGATAAACTTTTGAAACAGTCAGGCTCATAAAGTAAAGGTTTCTCTACAAAATGAGATGTCTCCCAGCTCTCCATTATGTTTTTTTATAGAGTTGTGATCATTTTGGACGGTATCTCACAAATGTGACTTTTTCAAAGACTTCCAACAAAATGATCATAACTCTATCAGAAAACATGGTGAAAAGTTAGGATACATCTAATTTTGTGGGGAAATCTTTACTCTACCAGACTGACTGTTTCAAAAGTTTATCAAGTACTGAACGAAAGAGGAAAGAGTTTCGAAAGTAAGTAACTAGAGTTTTTTCAGAATAAAGTAACAAACTTTAAAAAATTTATGTCTCCTCAACGAAAGGTCTTAGAGAGCTGGAAGTGGTCTTATTTTGTAGAGGACACTTTACTCTATAATGTACAATATTTAACTCAAAAATAAAAAATATTTCTAAAAAAGTGTAAAAAGAGAGGGTTACCTTTAATTTTCTCTCACGGTACACAACAGAATTTGATAATATATATACCACTAGATAGAGGAAGTCTTCCTGTACAAACCTACATATATCCCGTTCTGGGGTCAAAAATTACCATGAAAGTCATAGTCGCCTTTTACGTCTTTTTTTTCTCAGTATTACTCATATAAAACAAACGATTTGAAATATGCAGAGATATGACAAATAATATTTAAAGTAAATAACAGACATTTCTAGTTGAAATTATTAGTAATAGAGAAGTGACAACACATCGAATGCCATGGTACAGAGTAAGGCTCAGCCTAACAGAGTCAGAACTCCGTAAGGTTTAAGCTTTACCCGACCTGGTGGTTTCGCTACACCTTTAACTTAAAAGTATCATAGTAAAACATTAAGGACAGACCCTTTCTAAGTGTCGAATCGTTGGTTTTTTTCCAAAACGTGCTTAATTGTAGGTAGTTTTGATACTGATTATGAATCTAATGTTCGATCCGCTGAAAATCCTTGATTTAACATCATCATTAATACTGTCAGTTTGTAGAGTGTGTCGAGTTACCGTAGTGAAAACATTTTCTGAAGTATCGAACAAGTTTTTGCTGGATGAAATGAAATTCAGTTGTCAATCTCAAGCAAATATCCGGCTTTCCAATTCTTTCTACAATAAAATTTCTATAAACTAAAAACTATCTACAATTAAGCACATTTCGGAAAAAAACCGGCTATCCGACACTTAGAAAGCGTTCGTTCTTAATGTTTTACTATGATACTTTTAAGTTAAAAGTGTGGCGAAACCACCGGGTAAGGTAAAGCGTAAACCTTATCCAATTTTGACTCTGTTAGTCCTACATAAAAGAAATCCTTAGGAACTGCAGGAAAAACGTGTATTCTCAGAACGTGTTAGCGAACGATAGTTAAAAGAGCCATTTAAAAGCGTTTTTTGTCGTTCAGGAGTTTAGAATAACGCGTTGCGTTTGCTAACGTTTTTATTGAACGCATTTTCTAACGACGTTAAACTGGTCTTTGAAACGCGTTTACAAAAAGCAAAAAATTCGAAGCTATATCATTTTAACGGCGCTAGAAAATATATTAAACAAAAACGTCAGAAAACGGTTAATTAACGATCGTTAGCAAACGCGTTGTCGAAGAACGTTACTCTAAAGTATTGAACAAAATAAAACGCGTTTAAATAGCTCTTTTAACGATCGTTCGCGAACGCGTTTGGAAATACGAGTTTTCGTGCCTCTGCTAACGATTTTTTTCTTAAAATTGAAATTGTTCGTTAAGTACTCATTTTACCACTCTCCATTAGGTTCTTGTCAGCTAATGTAATGTCAAGAGGATATGGGCGAACGCAAAAAGTGGAAGAATGGTGAGACAAAAGTTGATGGCTCAAAAAACCTCTATATCTTCCCGTCGTTTTATTTTTGAATCATTTCAAAACGTGTTAATTAACGGTTTCATTCTCGTTTACACTCATTGAAAAACGCGTTTGCAAACAAATGTATTAAAAAAAACATGTTTAAACGACAAAAAAAAGTTTTTAAACGTTTATATGGCCGTTAAAAACGAGAAAAAAAACCTATGTTTTTGTCAACTGGCTTTCCTCTAAAAGTCAAAAATTGAAATTGAAATTGATTTTCTTTCCTTCTTATCATGCATTAGCACGATAATAGAAAATTCTTTAATTTCCTGTAGAATAATTAAATATTTGTATGAAATACAAATGAAACGACTGTTAAATAAATAGAAATTCAAATTAATTTCTTAGTACTGATCAATTAAACATCCATTCTCTTTTCACTTAATCAAATATGAGCGGGTATTTTTAATGGAAAAGATATTTTCCGTTTTCTCCTTTTTATTATGCAACGGCGTATAAAAACAAAAGAAAACTATATTGTGATTATCATTTAAAAATTTCGCATTAACATTCATGAAGACAACTAATAGAATGGGCGCTATTTCATCATCATCATCATTTACATTAGATAATACGAATCAAACTACAAATGATCAAATAGAAATACCAGATAACAAGAAAGATTATATAAAACGTCGTCGTATATCAATTATAAATGAATATTTGCTTAGTACGTCAACACATGGTCTAAAAAGTTTAGGTTTAGCTTATAATCCTTTTCATTTTCTATTTTGGTTTTTAACATTTCTATTCGCATGTGGTTTAATGTTATATTTTATTGTTCTATGTATAATTGAATATTATCATTATCCAACTCAAACAATAATTGAAATTAGATCTGAAACTGAAATAAATTTTCCAGCCATAACATTTTGTAATTCAAATCCATTTCGTTATGATAAAATTAATGAATCATATAATAATTATTTACTAAATACAAATTGTTCATATACTAATAATACTGTCTATTGTATGAAACAGTTTATAAATGATTTGTTTAATTCTAATAATCAAACACAAATAATTAATTATGGTTATGATATAAATGATTTATTAGTCGATTGTAATTATAATATATTAGACTGTAGTAATAAATCAAAATATTTTCCATTTATATCTCCATCTTATGGTAATTGTTTTACATTTAATGCACAAATATTATCAAATAATAGTGAAAATAAATTATTATTAGCAGCAACAACAACGAGTACTGGTAATAATAATACAGAATTAACTGATTCATCAATGATTTATTTTTATGGTGGTGGTACAAATTGTTTATTTATGTCATTTTATATAAATGAAGATTTATATTATCCAAATTTGTATACATCAAAAGGTTTAACAGCTATTATACATAATAATAATGAAATACCATTAATTGATTCAAAAGCATTCTATTTTGCACCCGGTTATACACATAATTTAGTATGGTCTAAATCTATATCAACATATCTTCAACCACCATATACAAGTTGTACAAATAGAATTGGTGACGATATGAAAGCATTATATGATACATACAATGGTGTTCAATATTCCTATTCTCAAACTGTCTGTTATGAATTATGTAAACAAACTTATATTTATATGAACTGTCAATGTGTATCAAGTTTAATATTAACTATTCAAAAATTATTTATTAATAATCAATTAATACAAGTGAATATGTGTTCAATCTATCCTACTCTAACACAAATGATATGTGCATATTCAGCTATAAATAATTTTACAAATGATTTAACAGCACAATCAAATCTATGTGGACATTGTCAACAAGAATGTGAAATAACAACATATACATCACAAATAACATCATCACAAGATTCATTAGCTGATGATGGTCTTAAAGCATTAATTGAACAAACAATTATGAAATATAGAGAATTACCTGAAAATTGGACAAATAATTGGCAAACATATATTGACAATAGTTATTTACAATTACAAATATGTCCACAATCAGAATTCGTTCATCATTATAAACAAGAGCCAAGTTTGTCATGGACAGATGTTATATCAAGTGTAGGCGGACAAACAGCATTGTAAGTACATACAAGTAAAAGCAATCAAACAGTTACTATCGATGCTAGACACACAGATGTTTTTTTGAATAATTTTCGATAGGAATGAGATAGAGATCTGCGGCTTTCATCATCGTGTTGCTGAGACCTAAGGACATGTTTTTGTAAGCAGAAATTTGTTTCAAAATTTTCCGGAAACCGGATTTTTTAGAGGCACTTTGGAAAACTACCTCCACTCTTAGAAAACTAACATACAAAGTTAGTCATTATTTTGCATGCGTAGGTAGTCCGAACTTTATAGTATGCAAGTCTCAGCTCTACAGCTATTGTCGTTCGGACAGGGCTCGCTTTCCCCGAGCGCGTGTCTATCTCCGAGCAGACATCTCGGAGAATCTCGAAATGTCATGGAATATAGGTAATCGGCTACGCTGAGCATACTGGCAACATTTGCTTTTGTGTAGAAATGAATATAACTTCGCCGGAGGCATTTTTGAGCTATGTTCATTTCTACACAAAAACACATGTTGCTACTAGGTTCAGCGTAGCCGATTACCTATATTTCATGGTATTTCGAGATTCTTCGTGTGTCTTGACTTTTGGAACCGATAGTAGTTAGGTTTTTCGAAGTTTATTAACTTAGAAGAGGTAGTCATCATAAAAGCTGATTTGCTAGAGACGAGAAGACACTTAGGAAAACTATTGTAAAACTATTTAAACAAAGCTCGAGAAAGACTGGCGTACATTTCCCTTTCAGACTAAACTGAGTGTTCTCTGTTTGGTCTCAAGATATGACAATACATTCTCTGCAAGTGTTTTAATTCTCAAGGAAATTCTTTAGAAAAGTGTGTATTAAACGAAATACTGTACCGTGGCAAACATTTTTGAGATTTTCTTGGAATTAGTGCGACTGAAGTTACAAATAAGTTAGTGATAATATGTACCGGTATGATAAAACAACGGTTCCTAATAATATTTTTATTTTATGTCAGTGACATCAAGCCTTACCTGAGTTGAGACGTCGGGACTACCTTAGTGTTAAGATATTTCATTTTTGTAGCTTTGAGAGTAATTTCTATGTCATAATCTCCAAAAACATTCATTGAAGAACACATCGGATAAAATTCAAAAAGTTTAGAACTTTTACCTCCTGATCTTTGACTAAAATTAATTGCGCTTCAAGTTAAAATAGGATTGAGATTTACTTGCATTATAATATCGAATCAAACCTTTTAAATCATAAACTTTTTATTCAAAAATACAACAAATTGAGGTATCACCCCATCACATGCTGTCAAAAAATGAAGTAAAAAAAAATAAAATAAAAGCGTACTAAACAATCATCAAAAGAGTATATTACACAATAACAACAATAACAGAAGAAGAGAGATAATGCTGAACAGTGAAGTTTAGCTGGGAGGACAGAACAGAGAGACAGAATTTTTCAATGTTTAATTTCGATTACATATAAGCAATAGTGCGAGAGATCAAACATAAGCTATCAACCACGGTGTTGAGATGCAGGTAGTTTTGCCTCGGAGTATTTTAAAAAACAAAAGAAGACGATGTATATCGAACAAAGAGTATTTGGGAGAAGGTAAACTCATATTCACCTTTTTAACGTTAGCGGTATCCATCCTAGCTCCTGACAAGTTTTTTCATGGGAAGAGCCTCGCTCTTTGTAGGATTGTTGAAGAATACTTCTCTAATTATTAGTTAACTAACTGCTATCCGATTTTTAAAAGCACACCGGGGCCATTCTTTAATAACTGAGTTACGAAAGGTGACAAAAACTTGCAGTTTTCACCACTCGATAGCCAACACTTTTTTCATAACCAAAAGAATTAGAAAATTTCTTAAAAAGCGGTTTTCTAGGAGATCTCTGGAAAACCAATTAATAACTGGAAACATTAAGGTAACAATACATTGTTTTTTTCTCATGAATATATAGCAAAAGTGCTCGCTTCGAATTCGGAGTCAAACTAGACTTTGCTTTCCAGCGATTTGGACGTGACATGGGATTTCCAAGGGACTTCTAACGACTGGCACCCGGTGACTTGGAGTAACCCTGAAAGGGAGAGAGACAAATCAATCAACCACGCTGAATTTGGTGGGAAAGTTCATTTTCGAACAGCGAAACAAAAATGTAACGTAAGTCGTGTTTTACGAAAGTTGGGCTTTCCAGGCGGGTTCAAGCTAAGGTCAAACCACTCCTAATTCACTCACACAGCATCAGAACGAGTTGAAAACTTTAGAAAATTTAGATCCTATTTATAAAAAATTCACAAAAAGACTAAAAAATCTCATGGTTTTCCAAACGGTTTCTAGAAAATAAGTGAACAAAACATGGTTTCTCAGTTTATACTATCGTATAATCACACAAAATTGATCACATTCTGGAATTTTCAACTCGTTCTGACGCTGTTTGAGTGAATCAGAAGTTGTTTGATCTTAGATGGAAACCGCCTTGATAGTCCAACTTAAAAACATACGACTTTCGTTACATTTTTGTTTTTTTCATAGAAAATATACAGAACCATCATGGTTCTACTCTATCTCTCTGACAGCTAGTGAACCTATTATTTTGTTGATAAATGTGCGTTCTCACCAAAGATTTTATTCACATAAATACTGAAAATTTTGAATTGTTTCGTAAAAAGAAATGAAACTTTTGTTCGATATCATCAGGACAAATGAGAAATAATAAGAAAGAAATTTAAGCCTGTTATATGCTTTCATTAACTTTACGGTTTGGCTACGTAGCTCTGCTACCGCAATGTGATCCTGTCACGATATTTTTGTACTCTGTTTCTGGCAGTTTTCGAACCAAAACACTTTCAGAGCTCTGAAACATCTTAAAATGAAAAGAAAAGTGTACCCAATATTTTGAGAGGTTTCCACACTCTACACGTTCTGCTGTTCAAAACTTATCCGAAAAAGTACTACTTTGTATTTTTATAATACTTGTTAAAGAAAAGTATGTGCAGCGTGTGGGAGCATCTCAAAATATTAGACACTTTTTTTCTTCATTTTAAGGTGTTTCAGAGCTGTGGAAGTATTTTGGTTCGAAAACTGTCAGAGAAACAAATTACAAGGAAACGAGATGGAATCAGACTGCGGTAGCATAGCTACTTGGCCAGACCGTTTACGCATCTATTTCTTAGAGATTTTCCTTGAAATCGCCATATGCTCTTTCTTTCTAAGCATCTAAACATAGTGAAAGTAAATTGTCCATTGGCTATTGCAAGCTCAAATTCATATCATAAGGGATCCTGTTTAATAGAAAACAAGTCACACAAGAAAACATATTCTAAGTGGATAACTTCTTGATGTTGTTTATTAATATAGCATATTTCATTCCATCCTAGTCGTAAGATTCTTGATTTATTTACACAGTTCCTGATTCTACAGTAGCCAGAACGAAAGGAGACTCAATAGGACAAAAGAACCAAAAAGACTACGATTACTTATTCAAACAAATTGAGTTGATTTCTTAATTTTAGGTGGATTGGTGTTAGCTTATTATCATTTATTGAAGTTATGGAACTAATATTTCGTTTAATCTACAGAAATATACATGAATGTAGAACGAAAAAATAATGGTGAATAAAAAGATACATATTATTGTTGCTGAATATTCGTAATGTACAAACCGATGTATTTTTTGAGACTGTGATTCATTCATTCAGCTTACTTTAAAGCATTAATTTAATATGGAGTTCAAACTCGATACTACCTAATTCTTGCTGTCAATTATTTTAATCACATTGTAATCGAACAAATCACCTTAAAAAACTAGTAATTGGTTAGTTTCGTCTACGATGTAGGAAACGGATAGATAGCTATCTGTAAATGTAATCCGAAAGGTTTGGATAGGAAGGCAATATTATTGTTTATCTAAAAAAGAGATGAACTCGATGATTTTTTGGTAAAATAACTTTTGATATAGAAGTTCTGAAGTCTAAAAGTTATAGAATTCACAAGAAAAGCTCTAAATGTTTATTGTCCCCTCAGAGCTACAGAAAGAAGAAGGAAAAATGAATTTAGTTCTTTTCTTGTGAATTCTATAAGTTTGCAAAGAAAGGTTGTGTAGAGCTGGAAGATGTCTCATTTTAATCACAATTTCGCGGGCTACAGTTGTGACTTATTTAGAAAAACCCTTGGGGATTCTTCGAGGTTTAGAAATTGGTTATAAAAGGCCTATGGGAAAAAACAGCTACCATATTCGGAATCAGCATGGTCGATTACCTATCAACTTAGAAAAGCGGTCGGACACCTGGAAACGTTCCCTCGTAGGTTGTTATAAAGCGGTTATTACGGTTACGGTTAACCGTAACCGTTGCATGTCTAGTCTTCATTAGCCTAACCAATCTCATATTTCACAAACGTAGCTTCGAGCCACTCAAAATTAGATTTCTAATTCTTGAAAACAAATAAACAATATTAAAAAAATGTTTTGAGTGGTATAGAGATATTCATGAAAAATGAATAGAATTATCAGTTGAAGTTCTGTTGCCATGGAACTGAAAGTGGAACCAGAACTGCGAAAATTTCTCAAAGTCATGAAATTTTTTCTCTTCATGTGTTGAAATATACGTAAATAAATTAGCTAAGTCAGTTTACAAAAATCGTTCTTTCATGAATCAGGTGCAGTTTTTTAACGGGTTTTTCAATGAAATTGTGATGCATCGTGGAGCTCGTTTCGGTCTTCATTAGCCTAACGATATTATATTTTGTAAATATAACTTCGCGTCACTTTAAAATTAGATTTTCTGGCATCCTGTGGGCTGAGCTATAGTATAAAAAGTCTAAGTGATATGCGATTTTTGGTGAGATAGTCGAAGCTCTTCAAAAAGTTCGTGATAAAGTTCAATTTTCTCCCAAATATCTGAAATTTTTGGACCATGTTGACCTTCATGAGAGCAAAAAACAATAGAAAAATCTGTAAAACAAGGTTAATTATTCATCGAGATATAGCCAAAATACTTTTGTAAAAAACGATCAAGCAAGTCACAATCGTCAAAATCACAAATTTTGCTAAAAAGATAAGAATGAGTTTCAGAATTATTCATTGATAAGAGTATATTCAAACACATTACAACTTACTTTCATAACGACACACGGATTGAGCGAAAACGTTTTTGTGGTAAATTTTCAAATTAAAAGACCAATTATAAGAATCTTTGAATGGATTTTATGTTTCTCGCGACAAATACTGAAATTGACTTGGCCTTGAATGTTTTCTCAGTGTGTCTTTACTAGGAAAAACGGAAAGTTATTATAATTATTTGATGTCCCAGTGAATGTTCAGATTTCATGATCTTGAAACTGTGCTTTTACATTCCTGAACCTTATTTTATGCTCTTAAGATCGTTGTTCTGATCTTGTAAAAAGCAGAGTTCTGATCCGACTTTGTATACAAGTATTTTGCACAATTTATTGATTGAAATCGTGAACTGGATTGCAAAGAAAAGTATTTTGTCAGTCGATACAGTTATACTAGCAAATACTTGGTAGGCCAGATTTCAGAGCAATATCAAAAATCAAACTGATTTAATCGTGCCAAAAATAGTTTTACCCAAGCATAAAAAAGAACCTAGTATTCATCCAAAATCCAATTCATCTAGATTACTAGATTTTTACTCGATTGAAACCATTGGAGCAGTCTATTGCTTTGAATAGTTGGTGTCAATCGGTTACTGAGGAAATATTACCAAATTTAAACAATTCATCTAATTTATTGGTGTAAAAGATATTGAATATGCTTAGAAACGAAAATGTAATATGGTAAAACAAGAAAATTAAAGAAAATAAAAGAACAATAAAAGAAAACAAGAAAATAAAAGAAATTTACTGTTACCTATATTTCAACAATCGTGATGCAAATATGTGCAAATGAAGTTTCTCGATTATATTCGTTTGAAATGTAATAAAGTGAAACATTGAGAAAAGAGGATTATGATAATCTGACTAACAATAAGTACGTATTTTGTAGACTAAATTCATCAAGGACTTGATTTTATAATTCAACGTCGGACTTTTACACAGACTGGAAGTGAGTGAGGTCTGATGAGTTTCGCCCAATGTATACCTACAGTATAAACTGTTGTGTAAAGACGTGGATCTTTTTTTGTTTGTCTATAAGTTTTATATTAGATACGTATCAAAACAAGAAAATTATACTGTTATTTCAACCATAAATGAATTTCATCTTTAATAGGATGACTCAGATTTTTAACAGCTTTCAACAGCCTTGATGATTTCAACCATTGTGTAATATCCTTATTTGCCATTTCATTTAGTTCTTTACATTTCAATTTTAACCAAATTAAATTTTTCATCGATTTCACTACACAGCGTATATCATTCAATGTCAGTACAATAACCGACAACTCTTCTAGATTGGGAAAGAGTTGATAAAAATATTTGATATATTTGACGTCGGAGTAAGTGAAATGTAATGATAATACTTTTATTGTTTTAGAAGATATTGATTGAATATTAGCAGGTATCCATAGTTCATCTAATAGATCATAATTTCGTATGGTTAATGAATGTAAATTTTTTGATATTTGTCGCAGTAAGTCCAAATGAATTTGAATATCGCCTGCATAGTAGCCAATATCCAGGTGTCGGATAGTGTCCAAAACAATCAAATTGGAAAGTTCATTCAAAGATGACAGATACGGAGATATTTTCCATAGGATGAGTGTGTCGATATTTGGATAATAACGATTTCCTACTATTGATTGTTCGTCAGTAGCGTTGTTCGTCGATACAAAACGTAATTGACGAACTCGTGAATAGTCGTTTCGTTTCGTTGTTGGTGATATTAATTGAAAGGATAACGATAATTCTTGGTTGTGAAACGCATATGGTAATGTATAAATTGATGTTACATGCTGATTTGAGTCACATTGTACTCGATGCCATGTATCAAACGATGTGACATTGAGCTTTGTAATCTCATATTTATAAATGGTGAATAGGAATTGAAATTGTTCCAAATTAGGTAGACGAGTGTCAATCAATTGTTTCCATCGTTGGCCATCGAAAAATTGTCGATCAGTAACAATACCGGTGATAATGAAGTTTTTTAATTTTGGAACCGATTTTACACATTCCTGAATATCATCGAATGTAATTGCTGTGTAAGAACACAGTTCGATAGTCAAAATGATTATATCAGTTTCTATACAAGTGGTGAGTGGTGTATCATACATGTGGTTTACCGGATTTTTGGTCTCTTTCGTTAGCTTAATATTCAATGACTTCAAATGTGGTAGATGTACTAATAACTGATTCAATGACTCGATGTCAAGTGATAGATTTATTTTCAAATACTGAATGTGATTTATGACAATTGCAGGTGTCGATTTATCCATAACAAACGCAATTTTTCCTTCATCGCTTAAGAACTTCAATGTTTTGATTGTTTTCAATGACAAAAATCTTGTACTCAGATTATACAATATTCCAGCGGGTCGAGAGATAGTGAGAAATTTAAATGTCAAATGTGATAAATGTTGCAATAGTTCAAGGTTTGGTAAAAAAGATTGACATTGACTCTCATCAATGTCGAACAAATATAAACGTTGTAAATATGTCAATTGATCCAACTGAAAATAAGTATTGAAAAATAACGGAATTTGATTAATAAGAATAGAATGTCGATAATTTGAAAGCGTTAAAGAACGAATGTCTTGAGGTTTTATAAATTTACATACATTATGAAATTTTGACTGTTGTAAATTAGAAAAATTTATAGTAAACCATGACGAACGTGTGACACAGAAAAGAAGTTGATCAAACCGCTGATTAAGGTCACCGAACGATACATAACGATCGTAATCATCCAAATAGTCAAACAGATTGATAATCAATTCGTTTGGTAAATATTCAAATTGAGTCATTTCTTCGGCTAAACCGTAGCACAAGAAAGGAAGAACAATTACCACACCAGAGATTTATTTCTACACATATTATATATGACATGAAAATTTCATCATAATACAGAACCAAAAAAAAGTTACGAAATTACCTGCCAATATTATGAAAACAGAATAAAAAACAGAAAAGAAACGTGTCTGTGTTGACAAGAATCAACTCTCAACTTGTGTCATCAAAATCTGATTGTACAATATCTGAAAATAGGACTACAGTTTTTCCGCAGAAATAGATTGACTCATTCGGCTTAGAAAAGGAACTGCTGAATTGAGTTGAAAAAAAGATATTAATAAATTTTCTTATAATTTCACGAAAATATATGTGCCTGTTTTGGGATCAATGTTCGTCCCGTCGACAAGTCTAGGTCGAGAAAAAACGTGTCTCGTTAACTGCTCTGAAACAAGTAGAATTTTTAACCACTAGCAAAAAATTATTTCAGCAGTCTGTAGGAATATGCTGGAGCACAGTTCAACGTTGGTTAAAAAAGAAGGATTAAAAAGAAAAAGTGAGATGATGATTCACTTTCATATCGGTAGTCAGACGCAGGGGCTTCCGCTGAATGTCTTTTAGTCAAGTCCTTACTGTGTGAAACCCATTAGAAAGCGTGAAAGGTCTATTTCCAAAATTCCGCCAGTCACAGGTAGAAGATTCAATATCTGTAACAAAAGGTTGTGTCATGTTTTTAAATTTAAACGTTGTTGAGTTTTTCGAATTTTTTACATCGATTCGTAAGCTGTTCCATAGTTGGATGGTAGCTGTATAAAACTATTCCTAAGTACAGGTAGACCACCATGATGACAGTAGCAGTTCTCGTGCCTTGCTGCGCAGTGGATAACTTACAGGCGTCTGTTGCGGTAATAAATCCCTAATGTCCTTGTCCTTTTATCACTTTGTAAAAAAGACATAGTCGATAAATATTGAACATGTCATATATTACAATATTTGAATTCTCATCTTTTTTTCAAGTAGAAAGAAGCCCACCCAAGTGCAGATGAAACGTTGTCGTATGAGGTACCTCTCATTCTCCTAGGATCGCGCCCAGCCTCATATTGTAAGATGTTAAGCCTTTTTAAATTTGATTCAGTTGTGCCCGATGGAAGAATAAATAACACTTGGATAGTTGATTTTTCCAAGAGTAAAGGCATTATAATCTAAAGAAGTGCCTTACGTGAGAACGATCTACTTTGAAATTTGATTGATCCTACTAACTTTCTTGACGAACTAACTAAATTGTCAAAATGGATCCCAGTCTAACTTCTGAGTAAAACGAGACCTCAATTTTTTTGTTGTTGAAAATAATCTAACGAAATTTTGTTTATTTTCAAAGATAGTAAATTTGTAGCTAGACCGGTGTGAAAATCCCATCCTGTCCCGTGAGATAGACGGAGTTTGAACAAAAAGAATTTACGGTCTTGGGACAAATTATGTTTTGTAAAAATTTACGAGCTTACGGGACAAAAGGAAAAAGCAACGTCTCTTATTCAAATCTAGCAGATGTATTATTTATCGGTTTAAATATACGGGGCGCCTCTCTTTTTCGAGACAAAATGGGCTTGGGACAAAAAACTTTTTTCATGGAAACGGACTTGGGTCTACTTAAAATACCTGGCAAGTCATTGATATAAACTAGAAAAAAGAGAAGCCTTAAAAGGGAGCCTTGTGGGACTAAACTTCCCTCTCGTCTTTTTTGAAAAAATGTCGAATTTTGAGCCGAGCATAGACTAATGTAGAGGAAAGTGTGGGCTACAAAATGAGATCACCCTCAGCACTCCACGACCTTTCTTAGTTATGCACTTTTCAAGCTTTTCCTTCAAAGCCTAAAAAAACTCAATTTTCTAGTTTCATAAATTTTCCTCTTCTTTTCTGTACATTCAAAATTTTTCTTACACATAGTCTGATAGAAGAATATGTTTTCTAGAATTTTCTGGTGAGTTTTCATGGAGATATAAGCATTGTGGCAAACGCCCTGAAAAGTGGCCTATGTACAAAATGCGTTTTTTCTCGAAAACTATTTTTTTGTTACCAGGCTTCATTGTGCCACATTACGACCCCGCTTACATTTCATCCGATCGAGTTCAAACTTTTACCAGAAGTACTCAAGATCATAGCGCAAAAGGAAAATTTTGGAATTTTATTTTAGACCTTTCGATTCCGTTTTTGAATTTTAGAAACCCCATAACTCGGTATTCATCTCCATTCAGTTTCCAATCAGTTCTGAAAATATGACGCCTTAGTAGGTTTTTTATTTCACAGCATTCTACGGAAAGCCGAAAAAGAGGGAAGGAGTACCCTTAACAGAAAACGTTCTGACGAAGTACTGCCGTCTACCATTGTGATAATACGACGATTCTTCGGGTAGCTTTCAAACCATTCATATCAAAATTTGATGGTTTTTTTCTAGAGATGCGTCAACCGAGATTTTTGCATATTCGGAATCAGCGCGACGAGTTACGTTGTACGGCGCAAAGATCTCGTTGGGACCCCCTCCATTTTTTG